GCAGAGATAAAGCTGCTGCGCTTCAGAAATCACACTAAATGACCTGCTGGTTTGTTTGGTTCACGGGGGGAGAGGCAGAAATCACTTAGCAAGCTTTAATAACTGCCCCTCCGGCTCTAATACCCCCGTCCCCCTTCATCTTTATCCTATAAAAATAAAACGAGCAATTAGGCCGATTTCAGAGGACGGCAGCCTGCCTATAATTACACACCGCATCCTCGGCAGATAAAAGGTGATTAGTGTGGATGCAGAGAGAAAGTTGCTTAGCAACCAGAAGATTGACATCATGCCTGTAAGTGGAGCCGCTGTCAAAACAGCAGAACTTCAGCCGAGCAACACAGCAATTACTATAAGGGCTCACCCAGACTGCATTTATTTAATCAAAAATACAGTAAAAAGTGTTAAATATTTTTATGATGTGTAATAACTGTGTTCTATGTGAATTAGGGCTGGGGTGATTCGCTAATCTGCTAATTCAATACGATTTGTGCTGATTCAATATATATTGTGATAATTAAATTGGCTTGAAAAAGCCAACTTACTGAAATCCTATTTAAAGGGGTGGTTCACTGGTTTTTTTCTAGGCTTGATTGTGTTTATGGGGTGCAGTCTAACATGTGTTAATTCTTAGTTTTTAAAAATTCTGTGTTCAGGATTTTTTGGGCGGGGCTAAAAAGGGGGTTCGATGCGCCCCGGCAGCCCCCGAGCCATGGCCCCTCCCCTAACACTATAACTAGAGCACATTCGCATCAGTTCACCCGCTCAATCGCGAGTTGTCAGCACCGTTAGTAACACACAGCCTACACACACACAGCTAGCTAGCTACGCCTTTGTCACTGAAATGCGTATTTCTTGGTTGCGATGACATACAAAACAGCTTGGTGTCCTTATTTAAATTTCCTAATAATGATTATATTAAAAAGAGTTGGATTAATTTTGTGAAGAGCCACCTTGATGGAGAGCTGAGGATCACCACCAAAACCCGCCTCTGCAGTGATCATTTTACACCGGATAAATTTATAAACTTTCATCGGAGACAACTGGGATTCACTGATAATCCGCTGTTACTGGTAAATGGGGCCGAACCGACTATTTCCCGCCTCGGCCTTCATCCTCCCGTCCGGACACTGTGGTGTGTTTTCTGTGGTGTGACGAACTCAGAACACATATTTAATATTGCCTTTACATAATTTATAAACTTTGATTAATAATATTGGTCCCACTTTATAGTAAGTGGCCCTAATACCTGTGTACTTACATAGTAACTAGATGTGTACGTAACGTGTCACCACAGTGCAAGTACACATTGGTACATAGT